CCCGAGAGCCCGCGCAGCCCAGAGTGTTCGGGTTTCACATGAAGTAAAGGTGGCGGCCCCAGCCGTGTACGAGGAGCCTCAGGTCAGCCATTGACCTCCGGCTGGCCTCCGTCTAATGTGCAGCGCAATGAGATCAATGTGAGGCCAATGAGACCAGCGTCAGTACAATTAGCAGTCAGAGGCACAGACCTGAGCAGGATCCTGCAGTATCCAATCAGATAGTGTTCGGGTTTCACATGAAGAAAAGGTGGCGGCCCCAGCCGTGTACGAGGAGCCTCAGGTCAGCCATTGACCTCCGGCTGGCCTCCGTCTAATGTGCAGCGCAATGAGATCAATGTGAGGCCAATGAGACCAGCGTCAGTACAATTAGCAGTCAGAGGCACAGACCTGAGCAGGATCCTGAAGTATCCAATCAGAAATGTCTCGGCCGGGAATGTCTCTGCACACGCAGGCTCATTCGGTACCACGAAGTGCAAATGACAATATCAGAGAGCAACCAATCAGAATTCACCTTTCCGGGACCTGAGATATCTGAAAGAGTGCAGGCCCCGCCCCCTCTTCCCTCACTGGCTGCAATGAGCACTTCCAGAGCCTGCACGGGGCAACGAGGACAGAGATAAATATAATGCCGGTTGTCTAAATCCCCCGAATACATTGTATCCCGCACTCCGAGCATGGGATGAGGAGGTGATGGGAGTACCGGCGGTGATAATATAACATGGAAGAAATAGTACTTCCTCCCGAAACTTCGTAACATCCAATCACAAGCACTTCCTGTGAGCCGGAGGAACTCCTCTGACCTCTAACACCAGGCAGGGAAACCGCAAGGACTCGGAGTTCTGGGGGGTCATTTTTTATGTCTTTTCACCTAAAGTTCATTCTTTAGGACATTTTTTTTTTAGGAGGTTTCCTCCCCTCCCCTCCCCCGTCCGATCAGAACTGACACACACAGAGCGTTGTCACCCGCCGAGACAAAGTCTGCAATCAGAAGAAACAGGAAATGTCTCCAAAGTGAGGGAAGTACAGTTGTCACCGGAACAGGTGTCACCCTTGTTCCTGCTTTACCATCACTTCCTGTCCTGGTGACAACGGCCATCCAGAGCCAATCACACCATTGTGTTCCTCTAAGGTGACACGAAACTCCTGAGAGAAATCCTAAAAATCCATCCGAGTCCCCGAACTCTGATCCAGACTGGTCCTTATATGTGTCACCCGGCTGGAGGTCCTCCAATCATCTCTGACACTGTCCTTCCTTCTGGAGGGGGGCTACGTCTGTTCCCCATGGTCCCTGTGTATGTTGTAAAGTAGTCACCGCTCCAAGCTCCGCCCCCCTGGGATGCACTACAATACCAATACATATTAGTAAACGAAACCTGAGATTGTAGTCCATGGGGGGGGCGGAGCTTGGAGCGGTGACTACTTTACAACACACACAGGGACCATGGGGAACAGACGTAGCCCCCCCTCCAGAAGGAAGGACAGTGTCAGAGATGATTGGAGGATCTCCAGCCGAGTGACACACAAATAAGATACATTGTTACTCAGAGTTCGGGGACTCTCCGGAGTGTACTGTCCCTTTAAGACGTTGCAGCACAAAAGGACATACAATGCATGTTGCAGTTCTCGGTGTTGTCACCTAAGCGGAGACACAGACCTGACCCCTCGGCGCTCTCGGAGGATCTCAGGGAACAGCGGCTGCCGTTTGTTTCTCTTTCATTATTATCTCAGCGGGGAATTTCTATCATAATGCTCCACTGCGGTCACGTTTGGCAGGCGGTGGGAGACGCTGCGGCGCAAAGCCTGGCAGCCGTGGCGTGTGTACAAGCATGAAATTTCAGGGGGGTGGTCGGGTGTTTGGAGTGGTCAGGGTGGTTGGCGTGTTCGGATGTTTGGGGTGGTCGGCGTGTTCGTGGTGGTCAGGGCAGTTGGCGTGGTCAGGGCGCTAGGGGTGGTCAGGTGTTCGGAGTGGTCGACGTGGTCAGGGCGGTCGGCGTGTTCGGAGTGGTCGGGTGTTTGGCGTGGTTGGCGTGGTCG